CCAATAGGTAAATTCCCTTGAAACATCAAAGCACGAGCCACATTCAATATATGTTGATGTTTTCTTTCAACACGGCCATTTTTTTGAGGTGTCCCAACACATGAAGTTTGAAAAATAATGCCATGTTCATTGAAATACGGAAGCATGCAATTGAATTCAGTTCCATTATCACTCCTCACCAATTTGACATTCGTTCCAAATTGACTCTCAATCATAGCAAAAAAAGATAAAAATGCGGAATGAACTTCAGTTTTGGAATTCAACAAATAAACCCAAACACCTCTTGAAAAATCATTAACTAATGTCAAAAAATAATGTGCACCACAAGTAGAAGGAGTTTTATACGACCCCCACAAATCACAATGAATTAATTCAAAAATTCGACTGACCTTGCTATCACTATTAGGAAAACTATCCCTAGACTGTTTAGCTTGAGGACACACATCACAAGCTTTATTCAAAATTTTCATAGTAGTACTATTACTAACAGCAGGAACTAACTTGACAACTCTGTCTGATGGATGCCCAAGTCGCCGATGCCACAACTCAAACACTGATAACCCCGGAACTTGCACCGCACATACTGTTGGAATTTTCCGAAAGTAATAGAGTCCGTCCTTCCGTTCACCGGCTCCAATCAGGCTCCCCGAATGTTGGTCCAGTATAGCACATAAAGAATTAGTGAAACGAACAAAACATTGAGAGTCATCAATCATTTTTGACACCGATATTAAATTGCATTTTAATTTTGGAACAAATAAAACATGCTCCAATATTAAATCGTTGCTCAACCAAACCTGACCCTCTTTCAAGGCCACGACTTGATCTCCATTAGGCAAACCCACATGACACGCGGAAATTGAACACACATCCAACAAGCAAGACTCATCCCCGGTTACATGGTGAGAAGCCCCCGTATCTATAATCCAAGAACCCGGCACACACTCACCTTGCATACGCTCTTGTTGATTGTGAACCATATTTAGCAAAACCTGAACATCAGCAGGCTTGAGATCGGCCAAGGACACATCGGCAGCAGCTTGAGGACCTCCTGTGATGGCGTTAGCACGAGCAGCAGGGGCAGCAGGGGTGTGCTTTGGTGCAGAGGCAGGGGCAGCAGCAGCGTGGTGCTTCGGTGCAGAGGCAGGGGCAGCAGTAGCTCTGTCTCGCCCTTTGCCTTTCCCTTTGAGCTCGAACCACCATTCGGGGTACCCATGGAGGTCAAAACACCCTTCAACATCATGGCCCGATTTTTTACAGTGAGTGCAAAACAACTTAGAACGATCTTGACGATCAAAATTTCCTTTCCCACGCATCGAAGGCACAACAAACACATGAGCCTCCTTCAACTTCTCGGCTTTCCCTTTTGCAATGCCACGAGATTCCTCCTCTTGAAGGAAAGCTTGGTAAGCACGATTCAAATCAGCAGGGGGTTGTTGAGAAAGCAAGTTTGTTCTCACCATCGCATATAAGTCATCGTCAATACCAATTAAAAATTGGTTCAAAATTTCCTCATCTCGATCCTTAGCAAACTTCCCAGCCACATCACACGTGCAAAGGCCACACTCGCAGCCATGGAGGGGCTTGAGTCGCGTGAGTTCATCAAATAGCCCCATCAATTTTGTGTAGTAGGCTTCAACAGTCATGCCCTTTTGCTGTTTGCAATCGGTGATGCTAGTCCGCAATTGTTGCAAACGAGGGCCATTCGAAACACAATATCGTGCCTCTAAATAATCCCAAAGTCGTTTCACCTCCTCAAAGTAAGGAATCGATGCCGCAACTTTGGAGTCCATAGACCGCAATAACCAGGAAACTAGCATCGAATTTACCGTCTCCCAATCAAGCAGCTTCTTCTTCTCTGTCGGTTTGGTGATGGTTCCATCAACAAACACAAATTTCCTTCTTGATCGAAGAGATAGTGTTATCGCCCTCGACCATGCCAAGTAGTTATCGCCTGTGAGGATTACGTGAGTAATCAAATTACCCGGTTGATCACCGGAGCCAAGGTAAAATGGAGAACCTGGATCGATCTTTCCTTCCTCCATTGTTGATGATTAATCGGAATTTTTTTTTCTGAATTTTTATGTTTTTAGGGTTTTTAGGCCTGATACCATGTCAAGAATGTGAATCCTTGGTAAGTGTAATCACGGTATTTATACAACCTAAAGTAAGGGCTTAACATAGCCCGTTAACAACTAAATACAATATATACGGGCCTAGCTTAACGAAGTCACATAAAAGTCTAATTATGGACAACAATTATTCAATTAATTCAATTGTTTGTAGTTAAAAAGATAAGGCTAAGATATGATATTGAATCTTGTTTGGTTTAATTTCTCCGTCATTTCCCTACGCAAATAACTCAATATAAACATTTGTTAAGTTGTTCTCCCATATGAGTTTGAGGGGTTTTCAATTTTTATTCTATTCGTTTCATAATTGTTGAAACTATAAAGAAAGGGATAAGAGATACGAATTTGATTAATCTGATTGCAATTTGTAACACACTTAAACAAAACATCACTGCCTTGCCTTATATAGGCCAATATCACGTTCAAAACAAAGCTGAAAAATATGCCAACTAATTACTCAATAATAGGAGCATGACTCCACTAACAAACCCACTATATCTTCTAATATTTCTCAACAACATTAAACATGCAAATGACTAATAAACAAATTGACCCACTAACATACTCCTAAATCCTTTAGGCATGACCAAGTACAGGTAACTACTACTCCTAATAATAAGGCATAACTATTTTGAAGTAATACACCAACAATAATAATGTTAGTCTCATTTAAAATCTTTTGACTATTAAAGTTAAATGACATCTTCTGAATTTCTCTCTATATAAAACAAACATTAGATATTTAATTTTTATCTAATAGGAAATATATTTTTATCATCTTCATGAGTAAATTAATACTTAATTTTTAAAATCTTTGTTGGTGTGAAATTAAAGATGCAAAATATATATATTTACGATCAAAGTTTTACATCAATTACATAAATTAGACTAACATTATAAAATGAAGAGAGTACTACTCACATGTTCTATTAATGAGATATTTGCCTAATAGTTATGACATGGGGTTTGTATACGATAAATCACAAATTTGAACTCTTAGTTCTCATTTGTAATAATCATGTATATATTGAGCTTGTGGCTCATTCAAAAAAAAAAAAAAAAGTAAATGATCACAGTGGAATTGAACCTGGCGGATTCAATGGGTCGGACGGCTAATGATCCCAAAAATCCACTGGATAATTATTACACTTTCGCATCTACTATTATCATTTGAATGCAATACACTCGAAGAATTTCAGTCGTTGGATCTAGTATCCTCGTTCCCGACATGGAAGGTGGCATCATCTCAGCCGTTGAATGTTCAAATTCGTTCATTAACTATCAACTTACGTTAAAAATTATTAATTCCCATCTAAGTTGACTTTTTAAGACTAGTTATTGATAATTTTTAGGACTAATGTAAGAATATCCTTTCTTATCCCTTACATTATATTCCATTTGAAATTATTTTGTGTTAGCAATCACAGACATTTACATCAAGAGATACATGGACAAGGCTAAATTTATGCTAGTATATACGGATGGCATATTCCATTTTTTTATGTTGACTTTATTATAAGGAAAAAGATATATGCAATCCTTAAGGATACATATAAAAAGCTAAAAATGAAAAAAACTGACAATAAATAAATATGTATTATATCAATTTACTTGTGAGTTGTTGATAAATTTTCAACTTAATACTAAAAAAGGATGTATATTAAACCTTTATTATAATGACGTAAACAAAAACTTCCTATTAATGAAAAACAAACAATGCCACACAAATTCCATTTTTTTTCTTTCTGTCTTTTACTACTTTACGTGGAACATTTGCTTTAAGAAAAAAATAAACAAATGACAAAATAAATCTCGTTTGAAGAACATTGTCATTTAATTGGAACTTAAGCATGTCGGCATGCTCTAGCTAGGACTCATCTGGTAGAGATACAAGCATACAACGATCTTGGTGAAGTCACCAATCACCAGGAAATAATTCAAGCCTTTTCTTCCACAATAAGACAATAGTTCTAAATTCGAATAATGTAATGATAACATACAAGAATCGGCTACGAACATTAAATTATTTAAAAATTTTCATGAAAAATTTATCAGAAAGATAACTTATACTTATATGTTCAACTTTTTTTTTTTAGACCTAATATGTTTAAAGTGATGAAAAAGTTATTATATAAGTCATTTTTGTTATAAAGAGGGACCTTAACGTCGAAATATGATATTAACTTTACCTTTTCGGTATTGACCATCATATGAAATGCACGTGATGTTTAAAAAGTAACCTATAAAGACCTTTTTTACCACAAAAAAAAAAAAAAGAGAATATATAAGTACCTTTTCAATTTTTTTTTTTTTTTTTCCAATTCTTATATACATTCAGCCATTTAAAAGCAAGTTGCAAAGTGTTATAGACAAGGTATCTTTGCGCTCCTCTTTCATGTTTCTGTCTTTTCAAAATAGGTGAGGCATATTATTGTATTTATGTAAATATTTGCTACATTTAGTACTGAAATTAATTAGTGTGATAAATTCATCATGTACGTGTTACAGTCCTTAAGGGTTACTTGTATTTGATCATACAAGCTAGCTTACGCTAATTTTAATTTTGGGACAATGCATGCATGTATATATCTTCCTTTTCATAATTTAATTAAGCAATTAAAGCTTAGAAAGCTTATGCTTAGCTACTTGAAGAATAAATTGAAAACTTGCACAAGAATATATAGAAGCTAGATGGTTAGATAGTTAGATAGATGGTTAGATACCTCGATCTATACATAGTTATGAATAAGATGGTCCATTTCAACTGTCTTTGAATAATATTTTCTGTTAAATATGTTGATTAATAAAATGTCATTTTCATAGAATGATTAGACTTGCTTCACGTCATTAGAATCCCACCACAATAATATAAAGCTTAACAACATAAATATATGTACATTTTACACATACCCTCAAATCAACCAACATAAACCCATTTTTGCAACAAAGAAATGGCGACACCAAAGACTTGGTGCACAAATTTACTCCTTTCTCTCCTCCTCAAGTCCTTTCTTTTCTTCTCCTTCGCCCCTCGACCTATCGTCGCTGCATCCTCCGATGAATTTATCCGGCCACCTGCTCGGAACATTGTCCTTACTCCCCACAAGCGTTCCGCTTCAGATCCCCAACAGGTTCATCATCTATCTCTTTCCAATTCAAATATAAGATGGGCTTAGGCCAACTCGTATAGTCAATTTGAAAGGTGAAACTATTTCATGTCTTTGACTAATAGAGTTTCAAAATGCGTGTTAGGTACATGTGTCACTGGTTGGAAATGACCGAATGAGGGTGTCATGGATAACGGAAGGCAAAGAAATGGCACCATCAATAGTAGAATATGGAACAAAGTCGGGAGAATATGAGTCAAATGCGAAAGGAGATCACAAGACGTACCATTATTTTTTGTATAGTTCGGGAAGAATACACAATGTTGTAATAGGACCATTGAAGCCTAACACAACTTATTATTATCGATGTAGTAAAAAACAGCCCGAGTTTTCCTTCAAAACACCTCCTTCCTCTTTTCCCATCGAGTTTGTCGTTGTTGGTAAGTTATTTATTTTATTTTCTTGCTTTTTTTGTTTTTCAATTCTTTTTTGTGCTAAAGTTTTAAATTTGATTACGTGGAATTTAAGTGTGCCATTCATTTTTATTTATTTATTTATTTTCCAATATGTGGCTTACATGTGCACAATAATTGTATTCTATGTGAATATGTAGCTCGTTAATTCGTTATTAAGAGGTTATAGTCAATATTTCATGATTTTTTTTTGTATAAGAATTAAAAAAAATCATGTATCTTTCATGCCATTAAGAAAGGTCCTTGTACAAAAATTTTATAAGTTATATTATATAAGACCCTCAATTTTTAAACCAAGTTTTGGTTTAACAATTTTTTTTTATTTTTTATTTTATTTTTAAATACAAGTATAAATGAAGTAATTTTTTTATTAGTATAATTTTAGAGAAATATTTTTTTTTATTAGTATAGTTTTAGAGAAATATAGTTTAAATATATGATCTTAAATAATGCCTTATTAAGATTCTGTGAAGGAATATGGCTTTGTGATTAATTTTTGTGTTTTTTTTTCATGATTATTTTTTTTATTATACAAGAATAAAAAAAAATGCGTTTAATCGTTTAAAGATGAACATTTGCTAAGGCATTGAAGATGGTAACATGGATTTGATTACTTAGATTCCACACCGTACATTTTGATGAGCTCAATGGTCCAAATATATTATGCATAATAGGTAAATTATATTACATCTATGATGCATACCCTTAAATGTATAATTTGTATAAAACTAAAGTATGTCCTCCATAAAAAAAAATAAAAAAAAAAATAATAAAAAAAAAAATTCTACAAAAATGTATTTAACATTAATATAATACATTTTTTTATTTCACGTTTGACACTTTACACTCGAGTGTAGAATGACACCCTAATTGCAAGTGGCATGGCCACATAAATAAATAAATGAAAGTGGAGTAAGACGTTGTCTATTAGTAGTACTTGGGTTTCACTTTACGGCATAACTTCCTATCCCATTTAACAAATTGGGCTTGGCGTTTTGTTTTCTAATGTTTGGCAATATGAACAATATTTTGCTTAAAGTGGGTTTCTGTTTGGCCTTTCTTTCTGGTTGTCAAAGTACCATTTGATCCACCAATTTCCATTTTAAGCTTTAAGCATAAATCTTGTTGTCGTCAACCCCCCAAAAATAGAAGTTTAAAAAACAGAATTTTATCTAAACTCCAAATCTTCTAATTTACTACTTACGTAACGTACATGTTTTAGATGATTAGATGCATGCCTTTAGTAGAATTTGATACTCCATGTTAGATGGTTTGTTAGTTATGGTAAAGTGATGCTTTCATGTCATCTCATTTATCGTGATCCATTTCAATCTTTTGAAATTATGGTTTTACAAGCTATCAAAAGACACTATAACTTTTTGCGCACTCAAGTACTCAACATTTATTATTTAATATTCTAACTTCTTGTATACCTTTCCTTACAAAAAAAATATATAGGGGATCTTGGTCAAACTGAGTGGACAAAATCGACATTGGAACATATTGGCCAAAATGACTATGATGTATTTCTACTACCGGGTGACCTCTCTTATGCCGATACCCAACAACCACTTTGGGACACCTTTGGACGTTTAATTGAGCCTTACGCGAGCCAACGACCTATGATGGTAACCGAGGGAAACCATGAGGTTGAGTTCATCCCCTTAGTGGCCGACTCATTTAGGGCATACAATGCAAGATGGCGTATGCCCTACGAGGAGAGTGGCTCCTCCTCGAACCTTTACTACTCGTTTGATGTAACCGGAGCTCACATCATTATGCTAGGGTCATACACGGACTATGATGCTAACTCAGCCCAATACGTGTGGCTACAAATCGACTTGGCTAAAATTGATAGGGCTAAGACACCATGGGTCATAGTGTTGCTTCATGCACCATGGTACAACTCAAATACTGCTCATAAAGGCGAAGGAGAGGAGATGAGACAAGCTATGGAGGAATTGATGTATAAAGCTAGAGTTGATGTGGTTTTTTCGGGTCATGTCCATGCCTATGAACGTTTTGTAAGTCATTACTTCATAAATCTTTCTTCTAAGTTTTAACACTACTCAATTAAATTGATCATACCTTAAGAAAACTAACCATCTTTTAATAGATTTGTGTGTGTATAACCATGTTTTGATTAATAGTTTGATTAAATTTCATTAATGGTTGATTGCAGACCAGAGTTTATAACAACCAAGCTGATCCGTGTGGTCCTATTTATATTACAATTGGTGATGGAGGAAATAGAGAAGGCCTTGCTTTAGTGTAAGTATATTTCTTGCAACTTCACTTATATTCCTAACTAACTATAGTTAATACGTTAGTATATAACATAAAGTTTGTCAATGTATTACTTTAGAAGAATAGACCCCCAAGTATCACCACATGTAAGTGTGTTAGTTGAGACGAACGCTACTACAAGAGAGGGGGTGAGTTGTAGTGAGTTCCTAGTGACTACTTTTGTTGAATTTAAAACAGAACATAAAAAGGAACTTAGCAATGCACACAAGATTTAATGAGGAAACTTTTTAGGGCTCAAATAGAAGTAAAACCTCAATCCTATACGGGATTTTAAACATCAAACCACTTCACTAAAACAGGGCAAACTCTCCGAGTTACAACCTATTATAATCAAACCTTTATTCACAAGTTCTACACTGAATTTGCTACACTGTAGAACCCTATTTTACCCAACCCAAGTCCCTGACTCAGATGTACTCCCTGAGTACTCTCTCACTCAACTTCTACCTTGAAGCCTACAAACTGTATGCAATAATATCAAACACTCACCTAAACCAAAACAATACAAACACTTAATTGATTTTTAATATGTGATAGAAAAGCTACACATGGAATCCGAAACTAATATGACAAAGTTTAGACTTGGCAAACTTAAACTTTAGAGTTCTCTTCAAATTCTTCACGCATAAACTCACAAGTTTTGTTAATTATGAATTCTACTTTATATACAAGTGGGACTCTATATGTAAAGTAGGTTTTTCTAAAGATAGAAATTGAAAAACTACCATTTTCATAAAACACATTTTTATGTAAATCTTTTGCAAAGAAAATCTTTTTTGAAAACTTATCAAAGATAAATTTATGGAAAGAATAATATCTTTGTAGAACCGGATTTTATAAAATAAAATCTTTAGAAAGTCTTTTCTTATATTAAAGCTTATCTTTTATAAACTTTCCATTTATAAAGCTTGTCAAGCTTTGTTACGCCTCTAATAAATTCCATGCATAAACTAAACTAACATATTTACAATAATCCTTAGAAAAATAAACTTAACATACACTTATATTCTAGCTAGATTATTTTGTCAATTGTTGTAGGTTTAGGGTAATTGGGCTTCACACAGTCTAGGATTAAGATCCTACTGTCCTTCATACTCCAGCTCCTTGCTGGAACTTTGCAGGCCAAGTACTTATGGAACTTGTTGTCTTCAACGCAAACCAAGTCAAACTTCTTAACTTGTTGTCAAGCTCTTGTTAGAGAGCTTCTCTTCATGTTCTATTAGGGAACGCAATTAGTTCCATTGAGAAACTCTTCTTCTACTTTCTCTAACTTTCCTTGGAATCTCCTTGAGTCTTCATAGGTAGGTTACTCTTAGAGAACTCGCATTAGTTGAAGTTTGCTTATTCTCATTATCATCAAAACTCTTAAGCTTTAACAAAGTGTCCCACATTGGTTGAAGATAAGAGAGTTAATCACTTTATAAGGCTAAGGGGCTACTCTTTCTATTGTCATATAGTTTTGTGATGAAGCGAACCTTGGACTTGTGAAATCAGATTCTCTAATATTTAATTAAGTGCATAACTCAACGTAAATTGATTCATACTATTTACATGTAGGTATGAGGATCCTGCACCATCAATCTCGAAGTACAGAGAAGCAAGCTTCGGACATGGACGTTTAAGATTGTTGGATGGTAATAAAGCTCATTGGTCATGGCATCGGAACAAAGAATCGAATGCCTCAACCATTGCAGATGAAGTATGGCTTCAAAGCTTAAGCTCCTCCACCTCTTGCTTGCCTAATGACTCAATGACTAAACACGACGAATTTAAAAATGTTTGGATTTCTTTTTCTATATAACATATAGAGAAATGAATATTTAGCTTTTCATCTCAATTAATTTTGAAGTATTATGTAAATGTGCAAAGGTTTTTTTATTTTAGCCTCAGGATTTGCAATTAGCAATTGGTGATTTGATGGAATTTGTATTTTCATTAACAACTATATTGTTTAGATATGGATTTGAAATTATTAACCTCGTCATGTATTCATGTAATCAATGATTTTAGATAATTAATTTTATTTTATGGACTCAAAACTAGTATGTACTTCCTTTTTTTTTTTATACTTGCAACACACCTTTTATCACGGTTATCGATGAGGTGATTAAACTAGGTAACTGAATGAATTAATCTATGAAGTTTAAACCGTAGTAACTTATCCCTTTCTTCTTATTGGTGTTAAAATTTTGTAATTTAATTTATCCGTTTACCTAGTCTAATATCTTCTTTAACATGCGTGCCAAAAGGGTGTGTTGCACTAAATATACCGAGGAAACATAATTCTTTGGGCCTTTTAGAGTTTTAGTAAGCCAAGGAAGAGGAAATATGACTTTAGTAGTTATTACTAATCCAACGTATAATTATTTATGGCTAGACTCTAGTCTAGCCATTTATCCCTACACCCCCCTAAAACGACGCGTTTAAACACATACCACTACCCCCACACATCCCAACCTACCCCACAGTAACTTCCCTCTAAAACCGCCAGTAACTTCCCACTACCCCACCCACATATATATATATATAATTAAAAAAAAACTTTTCAAATGATCACATTTACTCTGCATTTTCTCTCTCATCCTCTTTCTCCAATTTCTCACTCAACCTCCATTTTCTCTCTCTACTCCATTTTCGTACATGCAATTAGCAAGTAAAATCGTCTAAAATGTCCGACATTAGAGACGAAATTGCACAATCTCGACAAATTTCAACAAGAACAAACCAAAAATCTAATGAGTAAGTATGTTTTACATGTTTAGTATAAAACTAATTGAAAATTGCGCAACAAAACCCTAATTTTTTGGTATTTTTTCTTTTTGATGATGTTTCAGGAAAAAAAATTGAAAATCCTAGAGTTCCAGAACAATCAAAGTAAGTATTACTGATTTTTTTTCGAATTATAAGCATAATTTTATTTAAATTTGCTCATATTTAAACAAGTTACTGTTTAAATTTGAATATAAACATAATTTTCCTCTATTTCTGAGACGATAATAAAAATTTAAACAAGTTACTGTTAATATTGGAATGTATGCATAATTTTGATTAAATGATCAACCAAAAACTATATAAAATATACAAAAAAACGAAATGTGGAAAAAAATATAATGTCTAGTACTGTGAAATATAATGAACAAATACAAAACAGTACATGTTCAAATTGGATTGTGTGCATATATGTGTGCATATATATGTATACATATGTTCAAATTTGTATAGTATGTGTATAACATGCAATTTATGTTTGTTTATATACATTTACTGACATATTAATTGTTCATTTCTAAATTTCATTTTGTACAAGTAGAAAACATATACTTTATTCATCTGTGTAATAAAATGAACATTTACAAAACACTATATGGTCAAAATTCATATTATGTTATATATATCCATATATGTGTATACAAATGTTCATTGCTACAACTATACTGATCATTTATATGAACTATTCTGTACATTTGTCTAACATAGAAACATCATGTCAATTTTTATGATTTACAATATAAATTTACATTGTAGTGATGTACCATTTAAAGTGATACACTTGATGCAATTTGACAATGGAATGTTCAATCCTTATCCTATAATTCATGAGAGAAAAGAATGTTCTGAAATAGACAACAAATTGGATAGAAATGAAGTTATAAAAAAGTGGGAACCCTATTTATTAGGAGACAACCTACATCCCAAGTAAGTTGATGTACTTACAAATATTCATATATGTAATATTTAATGTACAATCATTTACTTCAATACTTAATCTCATAATTGAAATAATTTGTAAAATGTTAGTGAACCAAAAAAGTTGAAAGTGAAATTTATAATGTCAAGATCAAGGCCAGAGAAAAATCAATCAATGAGGTATAAATACTTAATAAAAATTCAATAATTTATTTTTATACTGTTACATAATCATACTTTTATGTATTAACATTCAAAAAAATTTCAGTGAACAAGAGAAGGAAACTTCAAAAATAGATGATGCATCAACAAATCAAGGGTATATTCTACCTCAATATGTTTAATGTTCATTTATTTCTTAGTTGTCATACATAATATAATGATTTTCATTCTCAGAAAAAAAAACAACTGAAGAGGAAGCAAAAACTGATCACCTACAACAAGAAAAGGCTGGATCAGAATTAGTGAATACAGGGTATTTCATTCCCATAATGTTCATTTTCATATTACTTAATAAACATTTTTAATCATTTGAAATTAATTAATTTTCAGAAATCAATCACCTAAGAAAGACACAAGAGAGGTTGAACAACTAAAACCAAAAAAGGATGCAGCAGGGTATTTGATTCAACTAATGTTCATTTTCTATTAGTTGATAAACATTTTTAATCATTTTCAATTTTTAATTTTCAGAAATGAATCAACTGAAAAATCCCCAACAGAAGATGAGCCTGCACCAGAAGTGGAGGCTACAGCAAAGGATCAACCTGCACTAGAAGTGAAGGCTATAGTAGAGGATGAGCCTCCAGCAGAGGATGAGCCTCCAAAAGAGGATGAGCCTCCAACAGCAGTTGAAGAAACACATTCATACATAATGCAAAAGTATGAACATATATAACTTATTAAATGTTTCTATTCCACTTTTACAATATTATTGATCATAAATTATCAAAAAATGTTGTCAGGAAAAAAATAAAAGTGTCAACTCAGGGAATACTAAAAAAAACTGACCAAAAACAGGAAAACTGCTCCTGTTAGCAAGGTCATTGCTGCTAAAAAGGCCCCTGCTACAACTGTTGATACTGCTGGAAAAGCCACTGCTGCTTAAATGGCCCCAGCTACAAGTACTGAAAAGTCCTCTGCTGCAGAAAAATCCCATGTAGCAAGTTCTGCCATTGCACAACAAAAGGCCCCTGCTGAAATTAAAAAAATCCAATTAAGTAATGTACATAATTGTTAAATTAAATATTAAATTTTATTTATCAATAACACTTATATTGAAAATGTTCATTTACCAATTTGTAAATGATCAAAATGTATAGGTGGTGAAGAAATTGAGATTTAGGATGAAACAGAAGAAGAATTGGAAAGACAAAGACAAGAAGAATTGAAAAAGGATGAGGAGTTGGCAAGAAAATTGAGAGGTATAAAACCTGTTGAAGAGTTAACTTTGTCTCAAAAGAGTGAAGAATCTTCACAAAATTCAAAGCAACTAAGAAGGAAAATGGTTGCAAGGAAAAATCAGAAGAAAAAAGAATTGGAAGTAAATAAATCAAAAAAAAGGAAGATGAACAATCACTAGCAAGAAGAACAAGAAGTAAATCACAAGGTAAATAAAATGTACAATTTCTAATATAACAATGATCATATTAAATAAACATTACAACTATATTAATATTTATATAACAATGTTTATTTGCAGATGTTAAGTTGCCTAGCATATCAGCTATAGCAACAGCTGCTGCAGCAATTGCTGAAAACCTACCAACAACAACAACACCAAAAAAACCTGGGCGTCCAAGGGCTGCAACTGCAGTTGCAAAGAAACCTGCTGAGAAAGAAGGGCGTACAAGGGCTGCAGTTATTGAGAAACCTGCTGCAAGTTCTGCTCCTTCAAAAGGGAAAGCAGGCCAAAAAGGTAAAAGAACATATCTAAAACAATAAATGTTCAATTACAATCTTACAGTTTGAAAATGTTCATTTTACTTAATGTAATTGATCAAATAATTAGGTGGTCAGAAGAGACCTGCTGCATCAGCCAAAGGCCCTGCAAAAAAAAAAAAAAAAAAAAGTCATAGATCAAGTGCCTTATGATGAACCATCAGAGGATGAAGAACAAGAAGAAGCTGCAACAAGTTCTGCTCCTGCTGAAAAGAAAATTCTTCAAAAAGGATTACAAAAAGGTAATGTACATATTAATAAAGTTAAATGTTCAAATACAAACTAGCAAATTACACTGTCATATATATGTTCATTTTACATATTATAATTGATCAAATGTTTAGGTGGTCAGAAGAGGCCTGCTGCATCAGCTAAAGGCCCTTTGAAGAAAACAAAAATCATTGAAGAATAATTAGAGGAGGAAAATGAAGAAGATGAGAAAAGTGATACTGATAGTGGATCAGACAATGAGGATCCAGCTTTTGATGCTGAAAAAAAGAAGATGAAGAAAGTGAGGAGGTGGAAGTAGTTCAGGAAAAGAAAACAACATTGAAAAAACCAAAAGCCGAAGAAAAAAGAATGGTTCTGTATGAGAGGGAACCAATAAAAAAGATTGTAAAGAGGAAAACTGAACTTTCAGTGGCTAAAAAGAAAGAAGAGGAGGAAGAAAAGAATGAAGAGGAAGTTGGAAGTTCGATAAGAGGAGGCCATGTCAAATTCATGCATTGGGTTAAGAAAATGAGTGATACACATAAGGAATTAGTGCATGAAATAGGACTGGGGCCGTTGTTGGATATAGGACTTCCTCAGCTTGACAAACAATTCAACCATTGAGTTTTAGATAGCTTTGAAGTCAGTAGTTGTAGTTTTAAGCTGCCTAAAGGTGAGAAAATTGAAATTGAGGAGGAAGATGTGAGAATTGCTTATGGTTTGCCAATGGGAGACATTCCCATTGTTGAAGCCAAATTTGACAGAGCAAGTGAAGATTTTGGTGTATTTATGAAAAATTGGAGGTCAAAATGGCAAGGCAAAACACCTTCTGTAAACCAAATTATTGCTCAATATACGAGTGATAAATTCAAAAACAAAAGGCCAGCAGAAGAAGATTTTCTCACCAACTTTTTGGTAGTTGCTGTGAATTGTTTGATGAAGTGTATTTCAAACAACCAATGCCATTTCAAGTTTCTGTTTTCAATGATGGACAAAGAAAAAATAAAAAACTTGAATTGGTGTCAGTACGTGTTTGACTCTCTCATCAGTTTCCATATGACATGGAGAAAGAGTGGAGGAAAAGGATTCTACAATGGACCAATGCAATTTCTGATGGTAAGTTTACAAAACACAATAGTAAATTATAAAATGTTCATTTCAGTGACAATGAATGTTCATTAACAAAATGTTAAATATCTATTTCGTCTAAAATTTTAATCTTTTATATTAATTGTTCATTTGTATTATATTATATGTTCATTTATAATAATGGGTTTTGGTGCAGCTGTTCTACTTTGACAGAGTTCAAAGATTGAGCAAAAAACAACCAAGAACAATTCCAATAATTTCTTGTTGGACAAGGGATATGTCACTTGAAAGGATAAAAACAGAAAATGATTTGAACTATGGATTTGGAAAAGTCCTTCCAAGAATAGAAGAAAAGCCTGAAGACAATCCTAAGGTACAAAATGATCATTTATAAATAATGAAATGTTCAATATCAAAACACAGAATGTCTTATATGATTTTTTTATATGTTCTATAAATGACAGTCTTTATGAACGAATTTGCATCAATGGTACAAGAAGTTGGTGCATCTTTGGCAAGACTTTCTACAAAATTGGTTAAGGCAAAAGAACTCTTCCCTGGGAATCAGTTGGTGAAGAAGGTAGATGAAGTGTTGGGAAAGATGGCACGAGAACCATCAATTCTCAGCCAAGATGAAGAAATATTTGGATCAGAGGATTTTTTGAATGCCATTGCACAAATTGAGAAGGAATTGATGGAGGCGAGTAAAGCAAAAAAAAAAGAAAACAGGAAATGAGAAGGA